ACAAGTGTCACACTCCGGAGCCTCAGGGATCTTGTCTAGGGGGTTGCGGGATAGAAAGTCACCGTCCTGATGACTACGTCCGCTACGATGTATGACTTCGAAATCATACTCTTGCAGTAGAATCGCCCACCGTGCCAGTTTGGCCGTCAAGTCTCGTTTGCTCTGAAGCCAGGTCAATGCTGAATTATCCGTCACAACAGTAAAATGGCGGCCATAAAGGTAAGGGCGAAATTTCTGCACCGACCAGACAAGGGTCAGATATTCTAATTCAGATGGATGATTCCTCTCTTCTCTTTGTGTAAGCCTGCGGCTTGCGTACGAAATTACTCTATGAGTACCCTCGAGAAATTCTTGAAGTAGTACAGCTCCAAGTCCTTGTCCGCTAGCATCCGTGTGGAGAATTGTCTTTGACAAGGACTGGTCGAAGTGAGCAAGCACTGGGGCGTTTATACGAGCCATTTTTAGGTCTTGAAACGAGGACTGCTCATCGTTGCCCCATCGCCATGGTACGTTCCTCCGGAGTAAGTAATTCAGGGGAACAGCGCGGGTAGCAAAGTTAAAAATAAAACGGCGTAAATGTGACGCAAATCGCAAAAACTTCTGACGTCTTTGATAGTTGTTGGCGTCGGATATTCAAACAAAGCCTCAAGCTTCGAGGGATCAGGTTTAACGCCGTTTTGTTTACCACATGTCCCAGGTATGTGATCTCTTTGAAGCCGAAAAAACACTTTTGGGGCTTCAGACGAAGGTTGGCAACACTTATGGCGTCAAGTACGAGGGAGAGTCTTCGAAGATGTTCTTCAAAAGTGTTTGCGTAGATTACGACGTCGTCTAAATACACCAGCGCCATTTTCCACTTCAGATTGCCCGAAACTCGGTCCATGGGTCTTTGAAATGTCGCTGGGGCATTGCAAAGGCCAAAGGGAAGACGGTTGAATTGGTAGAGACCATCTGGTGTGATGAAGGCTGACTTTTCAGCGTCCCCTTTATCGAGCGGAACCTGCCAGTATCCCGACATCAAATCCAATGTTGTAAAGTATTCCGCTCCCTGCAGTCGGTCAAGGGTATCATCAAGACGTGGAAGAGTGTAGACATCAAGCTTGGTTGTACTATTAAGCTTCCTGTAATCTACACAAAACCGCACAGTGCCATCTTTCTTTCTCACTAACACCACTGGTGATGACCATGGGCTCGATGACGGACTCACCACACCCTGGTCGAGCATCTCAGTCACTTGCCGTTTGATGGTTTTGCGCTCTGTTGGGGCTACGCGGCGTAGTGGCTGATGTATTGGTCGGCTGTCACCGGTGTCAATGGTATGTGTTGCATACGGTGTGCATCCATGTTCGCCCGAACTCAGGGCGATGCAGTTTCGATGTGACAACAATATCCTCTTGATTTTCGTTTTCTGCTCGCAACTCAATTCTGGTCCAAACTTAAATTGTTCCCACGGTAAAGCATTATCCTGACTGTAAAAATGGCACTCGTTATCTGACTCCAGAGAAATACTGGCAAGTATTGAGATCTTGTCCTTCGCCAACGGTTGGAGTACACCAATCTGTTTCCCTGGATTGAGAGTGATGTCGTTGGCACCTAGATTAACGACAAGAGCGACGAATTCTCCATTGGTACAAGCCACAAGTGTCCGGGGTGCAGCTAGTTCTTTCCCTGGTTTCGCACAGAGCCACGAGTCGAAAACAGCTTCACAGTAAACCTTTCTGTTGTTCACAGTCAGGCGTATCATTGAAACAGTCTCGGCAGGTATTGTAGCAGAGTCTTTAACGCATACGTTTAATTCATCCGATAGCTGTACTTGAGCAGATATGATGTTGGTATATTGGGAGAAAAACTTTAGAAATAGGTGCCACTTTTCCCCGGCGACGAGGGAAAATGAGCGAACGAGGTACACAAGCCACGCAAAAATACTTTCGCATCGTGGAATGCTGGCGTGTAATGTTTTCGTTGGTGGATGCGAGGTTTTGGTGGCCTTGTTCTGTTCGGGGTTCAACCTAAAAAATCCGTTTTTCTGGCACCACTCATAACCCAGAATGATCGGAGAGACGGAATTCGACAAAATTACGAAGTCCACTAACGACGTCTCACCGAGCGCAGTGACCAGTAACTTCACTTGTCCACCGGTGTGAACTTTAACGCCGTTGGCTGTAAAAAGTTGTGGAGCAATCCGGGAGACATTACAATCAGCAGGTACAAGCGTGGCGTCGATTATGTTAACCGCTGCTCCAGTATCGAGGAGACTTTCTTGTATTCCAATCCCTTGAATCTCCACTTTGGTAGTTGGAAGATCAGCGAAACTCCTTGAAAGAGAGACGAGGGGGACTTGGTCCTCTATACCCGATCCCGCCCCTGTGGACCGGGATATCCGTTACCCGACGCGCTGTAACACTCTGCAGCCAAGTGTCCTTGTCGCCCGCATTGAAAACAGCGCCTCTTGGTGTTAGCTCGTTGGTGACCTTCAGGTTGCTGGCGTGCTCCAGGCGTCTCCAGATGAGTAGTTGGCTGTAACTGTGCCGGGCAAGAAGCCTGGGCGTTTGCTGTTGCCTTTTGAATGGCTGAGATCTCCAACGCCTTAGCCAAAGCCTCTTGAACTGTCTTTGGCACTCCAAGTCGAACAAATTTTTGAACTTCAGTGTCCGCAATGGCGTCGACGAAGGCAGTAGTGCTGAGAAGGTGAAAAGTGTCGGCGGAAACTCCCACAAATGACTTTCGCGCTAGGCACTCAACTTCCGTTGCCAGGGCGTGGAGTGTTTCCCCCGGCTGTTGTCGACGGCAACGTACGTAACTCGCCATAGCGGACGTGTTGTAGATGTTTGTCGGCAAAGCGGTCTTCAAGTGCCGCTACCAACGTTTGGTAGGTTAGAGCTCCTCCTTGAAGTTGGGCCAGTTTTGCGATGGCTGGTCCCTGTAGTTGTGCCGCAAGATCGTAAATTGTTTCATCTTCGGACCATTGGTTTGCTTGAGCAACAATGTTAGCTTGCTCGAGGTAAAGGTCAAGTGGCACGCTACCATCGAAGGGCTTCAGTTTCAAACGAAGGGGATTCGAGGTGGCAGGAAATTTGCGTACCGTTGCTGAGTCGGTCCGATTCTCCGAGTCTCTCCTTTCCTCTAGCGCTATGACTCTTTGTCGAAGGTCTTCTTGTGCAGACGTAACGGGTTGCACCTGCGCCTGGACCATAGCCGCCATCGTTGATTCGAAGCCCTGTCTCTGTTCAACGAACAGATCCCTCAGTTGGGCGTAGGTAACTTGACCTTGAGTGTTGCTGGTGTCCTCGGGAGAAGGATAGGTTCGCCAGACTGGGCTTGTTGTCGTGTGAGGGGCGTTTTCTTTTCGCAGATCCCACTTCTGACACCAAAACGTTACAGATCGCTTTTTTTCCGCTGCTGCCACTTCGTCCTTCTCCCGTCTACGACCCACTTCTTCCTCTTCTTTTCCTCCTTTTTGTCCCGCTCGTTGCACCTCAATGTCCTCCTGTCACAATATATATATATATATATATATACATACATACATACACATACAAATGCTAATCTCAGATCTACTGCTTTTCCTATTGTTGACGAGATTTATTTTTGAATTCGGAAACATACTTTTATGATGTGTCGTATATATAAAATTATTTTCTTTTAATTTTAATTTATTTTAATTAGTGAAACGATTTCTATGTTAGTTGAAGAGCTTCAACTTGTACACGAAAATTAAAAAAATATAAGACCTTCCCAAAGAATTCCTGCCTGTCGAGAATGTTCACAGCCATATTTATTCCCGCATACAAATTATTCCCGTATACAAATCTGGCAACTCACAATCACTGTCAAACTATAGACCAATTTCTATAACGTCACATTCATGCAAATTATTGGAACATATAGTCTACAGGCTGTTGGGACCGAGCGTTTGACCCTGGTTGGTGGTGTGTCGACTCATGCCAGGCACGGGAGCGGGAGTGGGGCAGGAGACTGGGAGCCGATCAGCGGTAACGAACTGTACAGTATGTACAGATTTAAATACATCCTATGTACAGGTTAGGCGGCTGATCGTCAGCAGCGTTCATCGAGGTTGCGAGTTCCAGCAAAAGATAAAAAAAAACACCACGCTCTTGCCCGCGCTCTTGCACCAGACCGTTTTCTTTCTCGTTGTCTTGCTACCCCCAGGTAGCTCGAGGCTGTAGGAGCGTCCTTTGTCCGGGACGTTCAAAACTACGCCAGATGAGTAGACTTCCCGGCGCTGCCAGTTCTGTCGGGGCAGCCGAGGCAGTTCCTTTCTTTCATGCCTCGGGAAAACGAGGGCGCCAGGTGTGACCGGTCCATCTCGCCGATCGCCAATACTTGGTGATGAAGCCGGACGCCCGCAGGGATACAACAGCTCCTCCGCCGACGGGTAAACGGTCTTGAGGTTGAGGGGTCTGCAACCGCTCTGCCGAAAGCCGATGGCTCGCTGCTGTCTTCCAGGCCCCAGAATCGGCGCTGCTACTTTTTCACCTCTCAAACATGCAAGCAGCGCATGAATCACGGAATCACAAAACATCACACAACAGAAATCAGCAAGCATTCACCCCGCCCGGAAATTCGCCAAGTAAAGATCACCCTAATTAATCTCACTGTCATCAAATTCTGCCGTCCGAGCGCGGCTGACCCACCAAACAAGACATCGAGAAAGCACTAAAACACTAGAATGGCTAGAAATCTCTCAAGGCTTTATAGCGTCTGTACAACCCCCTTTCAATACATGCGACTGAGAGTGTCTGCATTCGAGTTCAGCTTCCCCCGCTTGTATGTTACTCGGAAGTTAAACTCCTGAAGTGCTAAGCTCCACCTTAGCAGCCGTCCGTTTTTTGGCGACATTTGCTGCAGCCAGGTCAGGGGACAGTGGTCCGTCTCAAAGGTGAATGGAGCTCCCGCCAGGTAACAAGACAACTTTTGTGCGGCCTAGACTAGACAAGCACACTCCTTTTTGGAGGCGCTATACGCTTCCTCCCGTGTTGTCAGATGCGGCTCGCGTAGAGAATGGGATGCTTTTCGTCCCCTTCTTTTTGGCACAGAACAACCCCCATGCCCCGGTCACTTGCATCGCACTGCACAAAGAATGGCTGATCATAATCAGGTGCTCTTAGCACCGGCCGCTCGGTGAGCGCCTTCTTTAGGCTCTGGAAAGCCTGCTCCTTCTTCTCGTCCCACCCGACTTTGTTGGGCTCGTTCTTCCTGAGAGCATCAGTGAGGGGACTGGCTACCTGAGAATAGTTCGCGACATATCGCTGGTAATAGCCAGTCAAGCCCAGAAACGAACGAATCTGCGTCTTTGTTTCGGGTCTAGGGAAGCTCCTAACGGCTGCTACTTTAATCTCTGAGGGTTGCCGACAGCCCTGTCCGATTACATGCCCCAGGTAGGTCACCTCCGCTTGCCCCAGTTGGCATTTTTCTGCCTTTACTGTAAGGCCTGCTTCGCGTAGCCTGCGAAACACTTCCCGCAGGTGCGAAACGTGTTCTTGCCACGTTGCTGAAAAGATCGCGATATCGTCCAGATATGGCAGTGCGAACGTGTTAGTTCCACGAAGAACGCTGTCCATGAGCTTTGAAAAGCAAAACGGGGCGTTCTTGAGCCCGAAGCTGAGCATCAATGGGCAGAACGTTCCAAGTGGGGAAATGAACGCCGCATACCTGCTTGCCCGCTCTGTCAGGGGCACTTGCCAATATCCACGAATCAAATCTAACGTGGAAATGTACCTAGCGGCACTGACTCGTTCTACCCTCTCCTCTATGTTAGGGATAGGGTACGTTTGATCTCGGGTGATCGTGTTGAGTCTACGATAGTCTACGCAAGGGCGGGGGTCTTTGCCCGGCACCTCCACCAGTATAAGTGGAGAGGTGTAGTCGCTCTCGGCGGCCTCGATAACCCCGAGCCGGAGCATGCGTTCGATCTCTTCAGCTAGTATGTCTCTCCGTCTTGGAGAGACCCTGTACGCCTTCGATCGCACTGGAGTACTCTCGGTGAGCTCAATATCGTGGCACACGAGATTAGTACGGCCAGGTCGATCGGAAAACAACCCCTCAAACTCACTGATCACTTTGCGCAGATCGCTCAGCTGATCTTCAGTAAGAACGTCGGTCTTTACTGCCTTGGCTATGACGGTGTCTACATCATACTCTCCCCTCTTCCCCTCCCAAGTAGGAATCTCCGTGGGGACTTCCTCTGGGGTGTTCCAAGCAGGGCTAACTATCTCTTTCTTCCCCACATAAGGTTTCAACAGGTTACACAGTGATATATCCGTACTTTCTTTCGTTTCCCCCCCGACTCCACAGGGTAGTTCGTCTCAGAGAGCTTTTGCAGCACTTTGGCTGGACCTTCCCACTGCACCTCTAACTTGTTTTTCTTGGAAACCCTCAGCAGCATCACTTGGTCTCCCACTTCAAACTTACGTTCCCTGGCTCCCCTGTCATAGTAGAGTTTCGCCTTCGCCTGCGCCCGCTGCATGTTCGCCTCAACTACTTCCTGTGTCTTATGCATGCGATCTAAGAGCTTCAACACGTACTCCACCACAGTCGGGTCTTCCCCTTGGCCTTCCCACGACTCACCCAACATGCGTAGTGGCGAGCGCAGCGAACGCCCATACACAAGCTCGGCCGGGCTGAAACCCGTGGCTTCATGTGGCACTGTGCGCAATGCGAACATGGTTGCCGGAAGACACGCCTCCCAATCTACTTTCTGCTCGAAGCACAGCGCGCGCAGAACTCGTTTGAAAACTGAATGCCATTTCTCTATGGCGTTTGATTGAGGGTGGTACACGGAGCTATGCACAACACGAATGCCACATTTCTCCAAAAATGTGTTCGTGAGGGCGCTAGTGAAAACACTACCCTGGTCTGATTGGATTTCAGCGGGAAATCCAATCCTCGCAAACACAGACAGCAGCGCGTCCACGATCTCGGCTGAACTCAACTCTTTCAGAGGACATACCTCTGGGAACTTCGTCGCGGGACAAAGTAGCGTCAATACATACTTGTATCCTGACTTGCTCACTGACAGTGGACCTACCGTATCTATGACCAGGCGGCGAAAAGGCTCTGTGATCAGCGGCACTAGTCTCAGCGGTGCTTTGTTCTTCTCGTGCGGCTTCCCCACACGCTGACACGCGTCGCACGACCGTACAAAGTTTTCCGCGTCGCGGAAGCAGCCTGGCCAGTAGTACTCTTGTAACAGCCGGTCCTTCGTTTTCTTAATGCCGAGGTGACCTGACCAAGAGCTCCCATGAGACAACTCTAAGAGGTCCGAGCGGTACTTCTGGGGCACGACCAGTTGGTCGAGAACCCTGCTCTTACGATCTTTGTAATGGCGGTAGAGTACCCCTGCCTTGATCTGATACGAGACGTTCCGTCTGCTTATGCCATCTTTGGCGGTATCATGCAGTACTGTAAGGCTCGGATCACTCTGTTGTTGCTCAATGAGAAGCTCTCGGTCAACCTGTAGCAAGGCATGAAAGCTACGCGACGAAGAGGAGAGTACGAGTCCCCCCTCGTCCCCCGTTTCGCAGCCAGGCACAATCTTTCCCTCTTCTATCTCCGCCGCGGTATCGCTTCTCGCGAGTTTCCCGGTTTCCCCGGCGGCGCTCCCGTGTCGCGTTGACCCCATTTTGTCCGTAGAAGTGGTCTCCGCATTGTCGGAGGAAGAGGGCCCGTCCGAAGTTGACTGACAGCTCGGTGGAACTTCATCCTCACTCCGACACACCACTTCCGCGGCTATTTGGCGCGCCCTGGCTCTCGTTAGCGCCTGCACCTTCCTTTCGCTAAACACTAGGCCCCTTTCTCGCAGCATCTGATCGGATTTGTTTGAAAATTAAATAGGGGCAGCTGAGCGGCAGATTGCGGGAAACCGCGGCCTCGGTCTCCAGCTTCCCAAAGGGACCTTCTACACTAACGCGAGCAATGGGGAGGCAGACCTTTTGATCTTCGACTGCCTGCTTAATCCATGCACATTCCCCCGTGTAGTCATCTGGCCTAACCAGAGACGGGTGCATGACATCGATGGTTGCTGCGCAGTCGCGAAGAACTCGGCACGGGCTACCATTGACTCTTAAGTCGTGTACATAAGGCTCTAGAAGCCTCCGGTTCTCCTCGTCATCGACGTAGTGAAACACCACTTTTGGCTTCCGACATCCCGCCGCGATGTGCCCGCTCTCCTGGCAGTGATAGCACACCGGCGGTTTGCGCTTTTCAAACGACTTCTCTCTTTCGGGTTTCCCCTTCTCACTGGATCTCGACTCTTTTGAGACGTCTTCGCTCGGAAGCTTTTGTTCAGGTTGCCTACCTTCCCCATTACGTTTACCGGCCTTTGTCGCAGGCCATTTGCCGGTTCCGTCGGGCTTCTTAGGTTCCCCTCTGGCTTCCCTCTCGAACGGACGCTCCTCTCCAGCTTTTCTACGTGAAGCGTATTCCTCGGCCAGCTCCCCCGCTCTCTCGACGGTGTTCACGTCAGGCTTGTCTTGAAGCCAGAACCTCACCGCGTCAGGGAGGCAACGGTAGAACTGCTCAAGGGCCACGCATTCCACTACCTTATCGTGCTCTCCGTACACATCGGCGCTTTTTAGCCACTCGATTAAGTTTGCCCGCAGGTCGTACGCGAGCTCCGGGTATCCTTGTTCGGGCTTCTTACGCATGCTACGGAATCGCTGACGAAAGGCCTCTGTGGTCAGGCGGTACTTTCGGAGCAGACTCGCCTTCGCCTTCTCATACACTTCAGCGTCCTCCTTGCTCAGACGCGCGACAACGTCCGCGGCTTCACACGGGAGGAGCGTCAGCAGTCTCTGTGACCAAGTTTCGCATCTGAAACCCAGTTTTTCGCAGGTACGCTCAAAATTCACCAAAAAGAGGCCAATGTCCTCGCCTACTTTGAACGGCTGCATCAGTTTAGACATTTTGAAACTCTCGACCTTCCTTTGACTTGACCCCTCTGAGCTAGCCCGCCCGCTGTCCAGCTGCCGCTGCTCCAACTCGAGTCTCCGAAGCTCGAGTTCCTTTTCTTTCAAGTCAAGTTCCCTCCTTCGGTCATGGTTTCTCTTCTCTACTTCTTCCCAGCTCTCAATGATATCCTCATTTTCTAGATCTAAAGCCCGAATCTTAGCAATGAGTTGTTGTTTTTTTATGGTTCTTACTACTTCTAATCCCAGTTCCTCTGATAGCTGAATCAGTTCCGGTTTCTTCAATTTCGCCCACTCCATGTCTATCGTGAATGCCACCCACGCTCGGAATATCCCTCTACTGAGAAGTACTCTAATGTCACGCTTCTTCAGTAGCCACTTAGGTACCCAAATGTCACCGATAAATTCCTAGCTATAAGGAACGACACTTGGCGAACCTCCGAACGAAAATGAACACCCACGCACCTCCGATGTCCGACGCATGTGACCCGATCTCCACCGCTGCCTACCAGTTGTTGGGACCGAGCGTTTGACCCTGGTTGGTGGTGTGTCGACTCATGCCAGGCACGGGACCGGGAGTGGGGCAGGAGACTGGGAGCCGATCAGCGGTAACGAACTGTACAGTATGTACAGATTTAATTACATCCTATGTACAGGTTAGGCGGCTGATCGTCAGCAGCGTTCATCGAGGTTGCGAGTTCCAGCAAAAGATTGAAAAAAACACCACGCTCTTGCGCGCGCTCTTGCACCAGACCGTTTTCTTTCTCCTTGTCTTGCTACCCCCAGGTAGCTCGAGGCTGTAGGAGCGTCCTTTGTCCGGGACGTTCAAAACTACGCCAGATGAGTAGACTTCCCGGCGCTGCCAGTTCTGTCGGGGCAGCCGAGGCAGTTCCTTTCTTTCATGCCTCGGGAAAACGAGGGCGCCAGGTGTGACCGGTCCATCTCGCCGATCGCCGATACTTGGTGATGAAGCCGGACGCCCGCAGGCATACAACAAGGCATGTAATAGAGTTTCTCGATACTAACAATATTTTATGCGATTTCCAACATGGTTTTCGGCGCGGTTATAGTACTATGACACAACTAACAGAGTTTGTTCATGATATCGGTCTGTCTCTTGACATCGGTAACCAAGTTGATGCGATATTTATAGATTTGTCAAAGGCTTTCGACACAGTTCCTCATTCTAAACTCCTACACAAGCTTAATCTAATTCTAAATAATCATCACCTTGTGAACTGGATATCCAGTTTTCTTTCTCAACGGTCTCAGTTTGTCTACTTTAACTCATTCAAGTCTAGTACAGTTGACGTATCATCAGGTGTTCCACAAGGGTCAGTTCTTGGACCGCTACTTTTCTTGTTATACATCAATGATTTGCCACGCTGTATTTCCACTAAGGTCCGACTTTACGGTGACGACTGCGTACTATATCATGTGATAAACTCCTCCGATGACCATATAACTCTTAACAATTCTTTCGTGAATTTTTGTACGTGGTGTAAAACCTGGCAAATGAACCTGAACTTTAGTAAAACGGTTTTTATGACCTTTTCTAGGCGTTCATCACCTTCTGTGTTTAATTATTCATTTGACAGGTTATGCCTAGAAAGAGTTTTTGAATATAAATATCTTGGCCTCCTTTTCACGCCTGATTTATCTTGGTCTGAGCACATTGATACGACATGTAACAAATCTCTTAAAAGACTTGGATACCTGCGGCGTACCTTACGTGTGGCACTACAAGATACTAAGCTTTTAACTTTTAAAACTTTGATTCGCCCAATCTTCGAATATGGTTCTATTATTTGGTTTCCCTACAGAGTCTGATATAAATAAGGTCGAATCAGTACAAAAGAAATCGGTACGATTTATTTGTCGTCGGTATGACAGAAACTTTTCTCCTTCTTCTAATCTTTCCGTGTTAGGCCTAAGACTTCTTTCTGAGCGTCGTGGCATCGAGCGCCTAAAGTCTCTGTATTTCATGGTTAAGTCATCACGTTTTGACTCGTTACATAACTACATAAAGTTTCTCGAGCCAACTGCAACTAGGAGCCACCATGAATTAAACATTTTACCTTTTCATCCTCGTACTGATATGTTTAAATACAGTTTTTTTCCTCACACCATTGAACGCTGGAATTTATTGCCAGGAAACATCCGATCACTACAACCAGATGAATATCTGTGTGCCGTTGACAGTGGTCCACAGTGATGTCCGGACCGTCTGTGTTTAACTCACACTCCTGCCATATCCCCAGTGGGGCTGCAGTATGTATAAATAAATAAATAAATAAAAACAAATATTGCACTGACTGACTTGAACGTTTATTAATTTTTTAGCTAGCGAAATGCAGTTGCGAAACAAGTGCCGACGTTCTCTCAAAAATTTCAGTCACGGACTTGAATGTGAGATCTTTTCAATTCCTGTCACGTCAAAACTTTTATTGTCTTAGAGGAGCCAAGCTAAGTTGCTGAGAGGTGCCTGATGCTTGTCAGGAATAAAACAAAACAACAAAAAAAATACATTGTTCGGTAGAGCTCAGTGTCGGGATTATGTACCTCTACAGAAGATATGGCAGAAAAATACCGTGGGGCAACTTATTCTAATATACGATAGTTTTCACGTGAAAATAATATTTGTGAAAATTGTTGTTTGGTATATCCACCGTCAAAAAATACAGTAAGTTGTTCGTAACTGCAGCAGTTACTACCTTTTTCTTGCCGCTCCTACCTTTTTACTAAGATTTAACTACATCAAACGAGCGACAGGTAATAAACGTTAGTAGGTGCAGCCTTTACTTCCTTTTTTCTGACCGTTTCTACATTTTTATGAGCTATTTGCCACCTCAAACGCGCGACAGGCAGCAACTGTAGCTAATGTGCGGCAGACATGCGCACGTTTCTAAGAAGGAGCAAAAATATATTTACCATTACTCAAGGCTAAATTGTAATTCATTATAATTACTATTACACTTTTATGGAAGTGAGTAACCGCTACCCCAAAAAAGTAATCTGTTACTTTCGTGGTGTTACTTCCGACATTACGGTACTGAAGTAAGAAACAAAAAGAAGAGGGTTCAAGTGTTCATATTTGCCGCCAGTCCCACTTATTGACTTTGAGTGTTTTGAGTAACAGCGGGCTCTCAGAAGTCTCATATGCCATTCTGTCTCATGTCTTTGAGAAGATTTCGACTGTTGCAGCGAACACCCTTTCAACTGAGACACTGGATGGAGTACGACATCCTTCCTCGTGAATGCTCATGAAATTTAAGTGAGGGACGCTCGAGCAAAGTCAGCTTCCTGAAGATGCAAGAGGCTGCTTTGTCGTCGCAAATCCTCTGCACTTGGAACGCCTGCAAAGCCGATCCAACGCTCGTCATACCAAACGCAGCGCCTTTCAACAATTCCGCTTGCGCAGCATCTCAACCTTCCGTCAGTGCTCGCTTACTGCCGACAGTTTGCGATTCTGCGCGGGCGGTTGCTGCCGGGCTCTGCATAGGCTGCGCCGAACTCTGAAATGACTTCGGAAGCATTCGCAGGATAAAATATTCTCACCGACAAAGCAACGTATTGCAGCATCAGGAAAGCTAAGGCTGCTCGAAATCCATAAGTTTTCATTTCAGCAGAGAAAGTGGAGCCGACCAGATGGAAGGCTAGTCGGCTCTCGCGTAGCGATTGCTACATCATTGCTCTCCCTTCATTGGTGACATGTGCACTAACATTAGAAACATCTCTTGCAAGAGTGCATGCGGGTCAAATCGCCGAGTTTATATCGCGATAGACTGCCGTGACAATGTGACAACAGTAATATCCGGGATCCGTACGATATGGTCCAACCAAAATGATCCCCATGAAAATAGTACCTAAAAAAATGGTCCCGGACAACACGGTCCCGGTCAGATTGGGCCAGATCAAAATGGCCTCAAGTAAAATCTGGGACTGACCGCTTGTAGTTCGGGTCGATTTTGTCGATTGTTTGCACGCGTTGTGTCGTCTGTTTCGTCCTCTTGTGTGTTTCTTTCGTTTTAATTCAATATTTTGCTGTTAAGATCCAATACGCGAACCATTCTAAAGTTTGCATATTCAATTTAAAACACATTGCCTGCTACTAGCTGAGATAATGAGAAAGTTGAGGAGTTCAGGGAAAGGCCTTTTCTTCACCAACGTTTCAAGCGGGGAACGCTTTTCTTCAGGGTGTGATGGTGTGTCAAATGCCCTCTTCTTGTTGACGTTCGAGTGTAAGAGGAAGAGTGACTATGAAGGGTAATAAAAATATTCGGAACACGAGCAACAAAAATATCGTATAAATTGAAGTTAGTAATTTTAAACAATATTAATCCAAATTATAAAACTAAATGAATTGATTTGTAGTATTTGCGACAGTCTTTGTTAATGTCTACGTCACAATCTCACTCCTGCTGAACACATCGCTATGCATGAACTCAGCACAAGAGATGACATTATTGTTAAACCTGCTCACAAAAGAGGATCCATAGCTTTTATGAATAAGCAAGACTATCTAGATGAAGGATTTCGACAGCTAATAAACCAACCGTTTTACAAAGAACTTCAAGAAGATCCGACCAAAAAATTCACTAAACTAATAACGGAAACTTTGGACCTAATGATTTATAATTGAAGACATTTCGGAAGATATGCATACAGCAGTGAAGCCGGCCTATCCAAAGGCTGGCCACTTTTATACATTAATTAAAATTCACAAACAAGGAAATCCGGGACGACCAATTGTATCCGGAATAGACACGGTGACAGAGAGAATTTTTAGCTTTGTAAATTTCCTTATTATGAACCTTCCTTCTACGATGCCATCATATATAAAGGACACAAATCACTTTCTCCGAGAAATAACAGAACTTGTAATTCCTACCGACGCAATCCTGGTCACCATGGATGTTGCGTCCCTATATACAAACATCCCTCACCAGGATGGCATTGAAGCAGTAATCAAGGTGTATAGCAATGACCGTGCAACAATTCGTGTCAATAATGACGTCCTCGCAACACTTATCAGGTTTGTTTTAAAAAATAACAACTTTGAATTCGAAGGAAGGCAATTCCTACAGACTCGGGGAACTGCAATGCGCACAAAGATTGCCCCTAAATATGCAAATCTTTTTATGGCCGATTTAGAGTCATGTTTCCTGTCTAGTCGCTCTCTGCAACCTCTGTTTTATAAGCGCTACATCGATGATATCTTTATGGTATGGGCACATCGGGAGTCATCACTCATAGACTTTATTCCTGACTTCAACGGTCTCCATCCTACTAATATGTTT